GCTGTAACAAATTATTACAAACTTGCAGGCTTAAAACAAATTTATTCTCTCAGTTCTTGAAGCTGGAAGTCTGAAAATAAGGTGTTGGCGGGACCACGCTCCCTTTGAATATTCTAGGAAAGAGTCCCTCCTTCATTGTTTCTACCTTCTGAGGGCTCCCAGCAATCTTTGGCATTTCTCGGCTTGTAGCTCTGGCGCTGCATTCTCTATTCTGTCTTCAGGTGCCTTTTTCTCTGTGTGTCCTCATAAGGACACTAATCATTGGATTTAGTGCCTACCCTAATCCAGGGTGATCTCATCTTCGTTAAATCTGCAAAGACACTATGTCCAGATAAGGTAACATTCTAAGGTTCTCTGTGGACATGAATTTTGGAGAGACACTATTCAACTCATGACAGTGACATAAAAATAATGTTGAAAGAAACAGAACATTTAAAAAACATTTTTTTTTAGATTACTCCAGACTTAAAAACGTTGCAAAAAATAGTACAAAGAAGTCCTACATGTTTTTCACCCAGATTCCCCAAATGCCACCATTTAACCACACTTGCTTCATCACTCTCTCTCCATCTACATGTGTGTGTGATGTGATGGATTTTCGGATGTGTTTGAGATGAAGTTGTAGTCATCATGTGCCATTGCCTTTAAGTATTTCAGTGTGTAGTCCCTAAAAACAAAGACATTTGTCTTACATATCCACAATGTGATTATCCAAGTCAGGAAATGAACATATTGACCAAACTACAACCTATTGACCTTTTTCAAATACTGCCAATTTTCCTACTAATGCCCCTTTTCTGGCCCAGGATTCAGTCTAGGCTCACATGTTACCATTAGTCTCCTTTCATCTGAAACAGTTCCTCAGTCTGTCATGACCTTGACATTTTTATTTTTTTGTTTTGGGGAAATTTCTTTCATCTTTCCCAATATTATAGTTTGATAAAATTTCAAACCTTTAAGGAAATTGCAAGTATAGCATAACCAATACACTTATATTCATTACCTAATATTCAGTAACAGTTACTATTCTCTACACTTCATATTTCTTTATATATATATATAGACACATATTTTTATTTTTGTTTCTTTTTTGAACCACTTGAGTTCCGTCACCCCTGAACACTTCAGCATGCATCCCCATAGATCAAGGACATTTGCCCACATAGCCACAATACAATTGTCATCACACTCAAGAAATTTAACATTGACACAGTTACTTAATACACAGTTTATATTTGAATTTTCCAGATGGTTGTAGTGATGTTCTTTATTGATTGTAGATTGGTTGTTTAATCCAGGATTCAAAGATTATGTATTGTATTTAGTTGAATATCTTAGGCAGTGTTGATCTAGAAAATTACCCATGATTAGATTCATGTTAAACACTTTTGGTAGGCATACTACATAGATGATACCATGTTCTCAGTGTATCACTAAGAGAGCACATGTCAATTTTTTCCCCTTATCAGTGCAATTAAGTTTGGTAATTTGGCCCTGGCCAGTTTTGCTTGTGGTTAGAGCATCAGCCTGCGGTCCAGAGAGACCCAGGTTTGGTTCCCCCTAAGGGCACGTAACTTGGTTGCAGTTTGTCCCAGGCCCTGGTTGTGTGGGTGGCAACCAGTCGATGTGTCTCTCTCACGTTGATGTTTCTCTCTCTCTCTTCCTCCCTCTCTCCCTCCTGGTCTGTCTGAAGATAAATGCAAAAATGTCCTCGGGTGAGGATAAAAAAAAAGTTTGGTAATTTGACTAAGACAGTGTTCAGCTGATTTCTCCATTGTAAAGGTGTCTTTAATCTGTACTCTGTGGTTATATATGAAAACTGAATGCATTTCCTGTTTCTTGAGAGTTTTCACCAGTTGCTTTACCGTCCATTAATGGTTTTGCCTAAATTACGTTTTATTTTTAAAAATAGTGGTTAGAAAATGGTGGGGTTTTTTTCTATTTTTAGCATGCTTAAACATTTATTGGTTGACAGTCTTCTGTAAAGAAGAGCTTTTCCTTCACCTCTTTTTTGTTGTTGTTAATCCACATCCAAGGATATTTTTCCATTGATTTTTAGATAGAATGAAAGGGAGGGAGGGAGGGAGATAGGGAGGGAGGGAGAGACATCAGTGTGAGAGAGACACATCAATTGATTGCCTCCTGCACAACCCCGATTGGGGTCGGGGAGTGAATCTGCAACCCAGGTACGTGACCTTGACTAGGATTCTAATCCTTTGGTCCGAGGGCCAACACTCTAACCAGCCAGGGCTCCACCTCTTTTTAATTTTTTAAAAGTATCTATGGCCTCATAGATTTAAAAAATTCAATGTGTTATAATTCAATCCTATCATTTTTCATTATGATACCGAAATCATCCCAAATTAGGCCAGTGGAAGCACCTATGACCAGCTCCTTTGACCTTTCAATATGTCCCCAGTAGTTTGGGGGCATTATGTTACTTTCTTGTACAACGAGTTAATCCAGGCTTACCTTGTACCTTCTCAGCTTCAACCCTGGAACAACCATTCCTCTAAGAAGTACACGTTCCTTTTAGTGAGGGACCTAATTCTGGCATTAGGTAAGCTCAATGGTCCTGGATGTCATTCATTCCTTTCATACGAAACCACTGATTCCAATCCATCACTGTAAAACAGTGGTTTTGTAGAATGAATGTACCTTAATTGGGCTTTGTCCAGTGTTTCCTCATGATTAGATTTGTGTCTTGGTTGTCCTTAGTGAATTACATTAGGAGGCACATGATGTTGATTTGTCCTATTGTTGATGGTGTTAACTTTGATCTTTTAAAAAAATTTTTATTCATTGATTTGAGAAAGAAAGACATATGTTCCACTTATTTATGCATTCATTGGTTGATTCTTATATGTGCCCTGACAGAGAATCAAACCCACAACCTTAGTGTATCAAGGCCATGCTCTAACCAACTGAGCTACTCAGCCAGTGCTGATCTTAACTTTGATTAAGGTGGTGTCTGCCAGTGTTCTCTACTTAAATGTTACTACTTTTACCTTTGTAACTAATAAGCATTTGGGGGGAGGGGTACTTTAAGATAGTACTTTTCATTATAATTCTGACTAATAATTTTAGCATTCATGGATGATTTTTGCCTGAAACACTTATTGAAAATGATTTTCGCCCTGGCCAGTTTGGCTCAGCGGTTAGAGCGTCGGCCTGCGGTCCGGAGAGACCCGGGTTCGGTTCCCGCTAAGGGCACGTACTTCGGTTGCAGTTTGTCCCCGGCCCTGATTGGTCGTGCGGGTGGCAGCCACTTGATGTGTCTCTTCACGTCGATGTTTCTCTCTCTCTCTCTCCTTTCCTCTCTCTCTCTCCCATTCTATCTGTACAAAAAATGGAAAAATATCCTCGGGTGAGGATAAAAAAAAAAACAACAAACAAAAAAAAGAAAATGATTTTCTAGCTCTAACACTTCTACATTTTAGTTAGACTCCCACTGTAAAAAACTTCCCCTTCATTTATTTATTTGTTTATGTATATCAGTATGGACTCATTTTGTGACTTATTACAATCCTTTGCTATCATTTATTTTGTTGCCCAAATTATCCCAGATGGGGCCAATGGGAATCCTTTTAAGCTCTGTCCTAATTCCTTGGAGATGAACATTTTTAAGACTTTTCTTCACCTGTGTTACTTTCCAACCGATTCACACCATTTGTGTGTTCTCTAGAATGTAGAATGAGAAGACCTTGGGCTTTCTCATCAGGACTGACTTTAGAGGGGATAAAATGACTTTCATGGGTCAAGATAACTTGCCAGTGTATAGGGCTTCTCATAGCTGTAGTTTCCGTTTGGCCCAGGACAACGCATGGTCAGTTCCCATACTCCTGTACAGTGACCTGCTCTTTTCTTAAAAGAGCCTTTTAGTTCGCAGTACAAGGTAGTAATAAGTGCTTGAGCCACTAGAGGTCACTGTTGGGCTACATGTAATAGAAGATCTCTCACTAAATCTCTCATCAGCTGACTGGCAAGCCTTATTCTGAACACAATAAGGATTTGTCTGTTTCCAAAGGATCACTAGTATCTTTAGACATGTCCACTTATGCCTCATTTAGGCCTTAATCCAGGCTTGAACCTTTGATAACAACTTGAATGGGACATGCCTTTGCTAAGTGCTGCTGACAGAAGAATACAGAGAGCAACCCCTACTTAACATAAGTTAAGCACCCTGTTCCAGGTGTCATTCTGTTTCACATATATTAACTCATTTAACATCTTTGAAAACGCTATGGTAAGGGGGAAATCCAGGAGGAGCTGATTTCAGACACCTAGTAAGTGGTTGAGCCAGGATTCAAACCTGGAGTCCATTTACTTAATCACTACATTGTGAATCTGCCAACACAGATTGCTGGCGTCCCATTGTAATCAGTCTTTCCATATCCAAGCCTGGGATCCCTGGCCTCTTTATAAAACGTCCACATAATGAGACCCGAAGTCATCAGAGGTCTTTTGGAACTTGGTGATGGGTGCTGTTCACCAGCTCTGTGCCACGGGGAGCTTCTCCAGCAGTCATGCTAATGCCACACCTCAGCCAGGCCTGCCCACTGTGCTTGCAAGCTGTTCACATCCTGGGATTGATCCCAGTAACCCTGTGACTCCACCGCCATCCCGGTCAGCATTGTGCTCAGAGAACATGAGGCCACCAGCTTCCCCCTGCTGGGCCCTTGCTTTCTAGAAGCAGTAGTGGTTTGCTTTGGAAGCTGCTTCGAATTAAGTATCATGGTACTTGATAAAGTCTGAGACCTTTTCTCTTTGGCAGGGGACAGTGGGTTCTAGGGTTAGACTGACCTGCTTTGGAAACCTGGCCTTCCTGCTCAGTGTGGCCTTGGGCAGAATGCTTTCCTCCTCTGAGCCCGAGTTTCCTCGTCTGTGGGTAGACAATGATAACACTTCCCTGGAATGAATGTCGTGAGTACTATACATAAAGGACACTGGCACAGGGTAGGAGGTCCTTGATAGATTTTACTTTTATCACTTCCTTAAAGGCACAGCCCCATTTATTTCCACCAGTCAGAAAAGCTGACCCTGATGTCATCTCCTCAGTGGGCTCCTTTTCCTCAAACACTGGTGCCTCTTACTGCCCACGTCTTTCCTTGAGCAACGAAAACTCATCACTGTAGGCTGGTAAGTGTCATTTTTTATGTCTGGCCTAATTCTCTAACTAGCCTCCAATCAGAGCTGAGACAGCCCTTTATACAAATCCTATGTATCCCGTCTTAACGAGGGACCCAAAACAGTAAGTACCCAGTAAATGACTGTTGATGACAGAGACTAATTGAAGTCAGTTCACAAGTATTTATGGAGTATTTACCAAGTGTCAGGCAATGGGCCAGACTTTGAGAATAATGAGGTGATTAAAACCCTGCCCCCCACTAAAGGAGCTCCTTCTCTGGCTACAAGTTTCTGCAAAGGCCCGGAACAGTTCACGCTCCTTCCGAAGCATCTAGTTCCCAGGGGCTGACTTTCTTTGTTGAGGCAGCCTGCTTCACTGTGTCTCAAACAGGAGGCAAAGGCCAAGTCCACAGCCCAGAGCCATTTCTCCCTGGAGAATCCATAACCTGGCATTCTGTGCCCAATGACCTGGGGCCATTCAGGCCCTCACAAGCCGTTCCCACCACTTGCTCCTTAAGGACCAGCCCAGCAGCCCCTGCTCTTGGCGGAGGGGGAGGGGGGTGCCTGGAGCCGGCCCAAGACTGGATGGCGGAGAAATCAGTCAGTGACAGATCCCTCGTGACTCACTGCAGCAGGGCAGTATCTGAATGATTTGTTCTTGGGTGGAGTGGAGGAAAGGGGGGAGAATGAGTCGGAAAAAATGAAACCATCTGTTGAATTCACAAGTTGCCACAAGTCATGAGTTCCACCAATGTTCAAATGACTAAGTATTTTTAGTGCAAAGAAATAAGGTAATTTGAGGGTTTCAGAAAACAAGCACTGTCTACAAACCCAAATGATAACTGAAGAAATACTATGCATTAGCAAAAGTTTTACTCTTTCATTTGCAAAAACAGCATGATATATTTTTTTCCAGGAAAAGGAAGGCTTTCAGAAGTTAAAAGAAACACAGTTTACCAACTAACTCAACCCCCTCTGAAACAGAATAAAGAACCTTTCCTCTTATCTGGGTTCAGAACTGGCAAGCAGCTTCGGTGTGGGCACTTCATAAATAACCTTGCTGATGCAAATGTCGAAGATGCAAAGAAACCATTTAGTCATTTCCAGACCCCTTCTGAAATGCCAGTGATGGAAGCAGGATCTTGACTATCCTTTGCAGATCTTAAACAAGAAAAGCCCAGTTCACCTGGGCACATGGAACGAAACAGAACAAGAACAGTGGATTAATCGATCTATCCCGGAGTCTTGGGTGTACTTACAGGGAGCAGAGCGAACTGAAACAGTGGGTAGAATTTTTATTTTTATTTATTTTTCTTTTCTTTTTTTGTTTGTTTGCTTTTTATCTTTCTTGTGGTTTTTTTCTTTTTTTTTCTTTTTGTTGTTGTTGTTATTGTTCTGGGTAGGATTTTTAAACCACCACTCCCCAAACATCCAAGCTGGGATTCAGCGACTGCGCTCCGTGGGGGGACAGCCTTGTTTCTCCTTGCCTTGGATATGCAGGCTGTGCCTATAAACATAAAGTCGGAGCAGGGAGTGGCAGTCCATTTCAGTCATCTTAAACCATCCTGATCATGATGTATCAACTGAGCTGAGGGACATTCAGAAAGAAATTAGTGATACCAATACTTTGGTATGTTGCCCGGTCAAGGTCTGCTTGTTTTGGCCTGAGTACACCTGACCTTGGCCCGTGTAATCTCGATACATAGAGATGAATGCACCTCAGTAACCATTGCCCAGACAGCCTGTGTTGTTGAAGCTGGGTTCTGGCTGCAATGTGCCGGGATGGCTTGGAGACCGTGCCTCAAGGGAGCTGGGCGCTCTCTGCTCCTACAGGAACCTCCTTCTGGCTTCTAAGAAACACATTCCATTTGCCAGTGGTTGACTCAGGCCAGAGCAGGGATGCAGCAGCTACTGCTGGGGTAGGGGCCTGGGCTGTAATAGGTCTAGAACAAGACAGCCCTGTTTCCACACACCAGCCCCCACTGCCGCCCCCAAAGTGCAGCCTTAGTTCTTTCTCAGCCCCAGAACAAAGGGGAGGGTGGCAGGTGGTGCCTCCACCTCCCTCGTGGCTTCCCACTCATCTGGAGCTCTTGGGCCCCTAGGTGAGCTCCGAGGCTACCACTGGCATAAGGGGTAGGTGGGAGCTGAAGCCCATATCCTGGAACTAGAGTCCCAGTTAGTGAAGCACCTGAGCAAGCAGGGCTGCCCCAGGACACTTGCCACAGCTTGGGCCCTCTGACCTCGGCCTCACATGCACAGCTCTATTTCCAGTGCCCCTCCCCTGCACCCACCTCACCACCATCTGCCCTTTCATTCATCCCTCGGATCCTGGCTGAGCACCCATACATGTGAGACAGACCTTGGGTGGGACAGGTAGGCTGTGGCTCTCTCCTGCCAAATCTAAAGCCAGGGGAGGAAAAGGGCATTATTTGAGCCCTTGCTTTGTGCCAGGAGCTTTAGAGCATGACCTCTCTCAATCCTGCCCTCACCCCTAAGAGAAAGGCCTCACTATCCCCCAAGAACCAGAATGGTGTCAAGGTCAAGAGCAGGGACACTGCCACCTGACTGCTGAGTTCAAAGTCCAGCTTTGCCACTCACACTCTGTGCAATCTTGGGCCAGTGATTGACCTACAAGCTCCCTCGCTGGGAAAATGGGAATCAGGCTATAGTGGGCATTTAAGTGAGTTAATTTATATGAAAAGTGTGCAGAGCAGCCCTACAGAACTGCCAGTTGTCCCTGTATGTTATTCTCTGTTACATGTTAAAGATGAGGAAACAGGCCATGAGACCATACGCAAAGCCTGGATTCTAGTGGGCACAACCCACGTGTTCTTCCCTGTTCCATGAAGCTGCCCTTTAGCAATGTAGAGCGTGTTCCCTTCGAGGAACGGTTACGTTTGGCTCATGGCTAGAGCCTTCAAGGTGAGTTTTAGACCAGTGTGTGGTAGAGAACTGTGGGAACAGGAGCCACCTGAGTCTTGTTTGGGACCCCCGACATTGTGTCCCGTGAGCTGAGGGCTGCCAGCGACCAGCACCTCATCTCTGGATGTTCTGGAGAGGGCTGGCCCTGGCACTAGCCCTGGCACTGGCCCTGGCACTGGCCCTGGCACTGGCCCTGGCACTGGCCCTCCTCTTGTCAGACGCAGGCTGAGACCACATCCTTCCTACTCTAACCTGCCGTCCCCATCCCTGTCCTGGAATCTGGGCTGATTTTCCGGAAACCATGGCAGAGGTGGAATTTAACCCCAAGCCTGCCTGACTTCAGAGCCCATGTTTTCTCCATTCTTATCTTGGTCGGTTGCCCCACAGCTGCCCAGACATCTGTGACAGACGGACACAGTCACGACTTGGCCTTCCTGTGCGGTGGAGGAAGGGGACGGGAAACGGAGAAGGCCAGCGATGAGTGCAGGCACACATATGCATAACTAAGTTATGCGATCACTCAATTGGTAAATCTCATCAACAGGAAGATCTGATGCACCCGCCTCACATGCTAAGGGACTCCCTTCAGGCCCAAAGCAGAAAAGTATCCAGAGGTGTCTTGGGTCAGGTAAACTACAGTCTCAAGCGTGCAACCTTTTCTGGGGTTTACACCATGCAGTGAATCGAAACTCTTCTAATTAGCTTTGTGATCTTGGCCAAATCTCTCAGCATCTCTGAACCTCAATTTACTATGTAAAACGGGGCCTACAAGCCCAACCTCACAGGGTGTTCCTAGTGGGTGATGAGAGACCATATGCAAACATGCCAGGGGCTGGCACGCAGGACATATTGATGAAATGGGGTGTCCCTAGACTGTGTAAGAACCCTGTCTAATCGTACTTAGTTCCACCCCAGAGACAAAGTTCTGGGAGAAGATTTCTGCGCACATGCTCAAATGTTTCGGCCTCACATGGATAAAGAAGCAAGCCTGCTTGTCCCTTCATTGCCCTGGGGGTGCCAGAGCCCTGAGAATCCAGACCTGGAACCGGCAGAGTCTGTGATGGGTTGTCAGCTGTCCTTCTGGGTCCCTCTAGGCCTCCGTGACACAGCCACCCACTGTCACCCTGGAAGCTCTCCAGCGTCACGCTCACTGGTTTCCTCAAAGAAAGGTTCAGTTCTGCAAGGGGGGTCCGCATGCCCATCATCCCGCCTGCTTAGGAGGAGGAGAGCGGGGGCGCGGAGCTGGAGGGGGACTCGCAGGGAAACCTCCAGAAGTTTTCACCCCATTCCCAACACCAGGAAGCTGAGTCTAAAAGGAAGCTCCTCCGAGGCCTTGGGAAAGGCCTGCAAAGGGGGGTAAAGAGATGTCTGGAACTCTGACTCCTGAGAGGAATCTCCGTCAGATGAGAAGGGAAACAGAAAGTGGTTGACCAGATCCGCAAGCATGGGTGTTCAGCAGATTATTCATCATGACTAGAGGATACCCGATGACTGGGTTACTTATTACACAGGTATAAAGAAGAAAGCGTGTTAATTCTTTGTGTGTGGTGTTTCCCTCCCCATCAGGCAGACTGTTCTCAATCAGCAGGGCCTGGGTCATTCAACTCCAATGACTTCCAGGGAGAAGGGGGGCAGTTTGAAGCCAGATTACCAGGGTTCAGGCTGTTCCCCTCTCACTAGCATGTGACCTCTTGAACCCCAATTTTCTCATCTGAAAATAAGGACAGTTGCTATGGTGAGTAGTCCGTGAGAATGTGTGAGGGGGCCTCTCAGGAAGAGGGAACACAGCAGTTTCTGGTCACTTGCTATTGAATATGCTGGGACTCTAATTCCTCTCCGGGCCAACCAGCGCTGGCTGCGTGTCAGCACAAGGAAGATAGCTATTTAGTGCTTTGTAACCTTTGAGGATTTTAAAAGGGTTTAAAGGCTGAAGAAGAGACGTTAAGTACTTTGGTTTCTCATCTGTTCCTCAGTCCTGTCCCCATTTTCTTGGGTGAAATATGGGTCCTTTGGGGAAGCCTTACCACCCTCAGGCCGCAGACAGGCTTCCTGCAGGCTTGGAGGAGCCGCCAGCAGCAGGCTGGGAAGGGCTGCTGGGACGCACTGCCCACCCTAGGTCCAGGGCTGCGTCACACACTTCTCCTTTCCCGGGCCACTTCCTCCATCAAAAATACATACATATATATATATAAATAAAATTCTGGCTAAGTTATTACATATTCATCATTATTGGTTTTTCTTTGGCTTGTAATAAACACGAAATTTAAGAGAAATGAATAATGAGTGATGGGGAGTGGTTTGGCCGCTAGGGGGCATCACCAGCCCACCACTGCTGGCGGGAAATCGGGGTGACCCGGGGATGGGAGAGACGGAGCAGCGACTCCCCCGCCCTGACTCACAAAGGGCTCGTGCTGCGCGTTTCCCCGGAGATGCTGTGTTTGCGCCTCACAACAGCGGCGGGTGTTGCCCCACTCCGCAGGGGGAAGGCTCGCCCTGGGAGGGGCCGTGTCTGTGGGCCTGGGTTACAGTGGCAGAGCGGGCCGACCAGAATGTCCTGGCTCTTCCTGCCGTACTTCTCCCCGGAGCTGGCTCGGAGCAGGCAGGGCAAGGCCTGCGGGCAGACCGACACCTGCCAGTGTGGAGGCCCCGCCTGGCAGGCCCCCCCCCTCGCATTCCAGACCGGCCCCCCCAGCCTCCCGGGGCCAGGCGGCCTTTGTTCCCTCGTCTGCGTGACCGCCGAGGGCGGGAGCCTGTAGGTGGGAGCACGTTCGTCCCCTCCCTGCGGAGCCCAGCAGGGACGTCAGAGGCACAAAAGGCATTCACTGTGCTGTGCGAATGGCAATGAACTAAGTGCTCCACCCGCGAGGAGTCCTGGGCCAGGGTGTGCAGCAACGTGGGCACGATCAGAAGCAAAACAGCACAGAGCGTGAGGAGATCCACCTCGGAGGCGGCTTTCTGCCCGCAAGGGGAACACCCAGCATGGTGCTTGCTGCAGGAACAACAGGCCCCTGTCCCCTCCACGCCCAGGAGGAAGGGTACCTCCTCAGGAGACCAGGTCTGGGTGGGGCCTTATGGGCAGCTAGGCCACACACAGCTTCCTCCTGAAGCAATGAGAAGGGCGACTGAACCCATGTGAGAAATAAAAGGCAGGTTGTCCTTTGCAGAAAAAGATTGTTCATATTTGGAGGGGGACAACGTGAGATGCCAACTGACATGGATGTAGCAAAAAGCAAGCCTTGGTGGTTAGTTCTTTCCGAGAGCACCTTTGTGGTTCAAAGGCGCCATGAAGGTTCTGGGAACAAGTAGTCCTTGGCCAAGTGTGTCCAGGCCTGAGGCCGGGTCGTGGCATTCCACAGAGGCCCTAACGGGAGTGAGGGCGCTGGGTGCTCCAGATGCTCCAGGGACAGAGGTGACCTCTACCCACTGAGCAGTGCCCGTCCTCAGGTCACCAACAGGCGGGAATCTCTCCCCGCTCACACATAGAGTGACCCAGTGCTGTTCTGGTTAGGCAGGCCCAACCAAAGTAGGAATGACAGGCTTGTCACATGGATGAAGAATAAGAGTCACGGTTCAGTTTCTGGATCTCCAGAGTCACACCCCTGGCCCCTCAGGGGATTGGTGAGGAGAGATGACAGTCTAGTCTAAATTGGGAGGAGAGGGAGTGAGAAACCTGTTCAGGAAAGGATAGGAGCCCTTGGCAGAATGCCCGGGACTTCCTGAGGCTGTGGAGTTGGTACCCTCCTGGGGGGAGAACAGACATGGGTTGGTTGCAAGCCCCAGGAAAAGGCTAATCCAAGGATGCTTTCCCCAGGCTGTCGGACCTACGTATTCAAGAGCTCTGTGACAGGTGCAGATCGACTTTCAGAACCGAAGAGGGCTTTCAGGGTGACCTACTCTGATCCCCTCATATTGGCACTGGAAGTGACTTCGGGAAAATAGAGTCCAATATTGCCCAAAGAGAGGGTGTGACCTGCTCAGCCCCTAGCTGCTCAGAGGACAGAAACAGCAAGTCCTGATTTATGGCCCAGAGCTCTTGCTGGTAGATGACATTGCCTTGAAAATGGAAGGGGACGGTGGTGTAGAGGAGTTCTGAGGAGCTGGGGGTGTCTCTGAGGTCCATGGGGCTGAGGGTGCAAAGTGTACCTGTTTCAAGGCCAGACTAGAGAGGGAAGGCCACCAAAACACTGCGATTTATCGGAATAGCTGGAAAAACAAAACACGCAACTAGCTTGTGATCACATGATGGGAAGGACATCTGTGAGTGACATGGTGTCTGAGCTTCCTTCCCTCTCGTGTTCTGTGACCTGCTGTTCTAAGACCCTGAGGGTACGGAGATCAGAGGGACTCCGTGTGCCGACTTGAGAGGAGCAGGCCCAGGAGGGCATTTACTCATTCCACTGGGGTTTCCCTGGACCCTTCAGGCAGTGCTGAGTCAGCAGCCATTTCTGACCTGGGCACCGTAGCCCAAGGCCTTCGATGGTGATTCAGCAGAGGCAGGTAGGACAACGCATTGCCCTACGTGGAGAGGCCTCCCACCCCAAACCTCCCACCTGTGCCTCTGTGCACTGCCCCTGCCTGGGGAAAGCAGAGGGCTGCCGGCCTTCCGACAGTGCGGCTGCAGACCTGGCCCAGGGGCTGGCCCTGTGCCCCGAAGCTTCAGCTGGGTTTTTCCAGTGGTCTGCCAGATTGCTCCAAATGTTTGCTTTGCCAAAGACAAAAGGAGCATAGGGTCTAGACTTGGAAGACACTTTAGAGAACAGCTAATTTTATAATTTTGCAGATGAAAAAACAGGTATGAAGAGATTATGCGCTTTCCTGGAGATTATACAGAACCTCTTTCCTGGAGGCTACCATTGGACCTGATTCCAGGAAGCAAGGGGGAGGGGCTTCTCCGAGAGGAGGGGCTTGGGCCTGACCATGGCAGGCAGATTCACCCCACACCCCCGGCCAGGTGTCCACCCCTAACCCCCGGAACCTGTGACTGCCACTACACATGGCAAAAAGGACTCTGCAGATACATGAAGGATCCTGGGGTTAAAAAGCTTACCCTGGGTTATCTGGGTGAGTCTCATGCAGTCACAAGGGTCCTTATAGTCGGAGAAAGAGAGATCAGAAGATGGTGTGCGGCTAGCTTGGACCCTGGGGAAGGGGCTTTGCCTCAAGGCCTGCAGGAGGGCTCTAGAAGCTGGAAGAGTCAGGAAGCAGATTTCTCTCCAGAGCCGCCAGAAGGAACAAAACCCTGCTGACACCTTGGCTTCAGGCACCGGAAACCCACTATGGACTTCTCACCTCCAAAGCTGTACGATAATAAATCTGTGGTCATTCATTACGACAGCACTAGATAACCAATACACGTCTCCTTCTCCATCCCTCTGCTATTTAGTGTGTGATCTTCAAGAATATGCTTGAAAACTAATTTGCCACCCCTTGATTTATACTTAAAGAAATATAAAAATTAATAATTTTGAAAATTACAGTAAAAATACCAAGTCCCTTTCATTCAGTAGCAAAAGCTGTAGATACCGAAACAGTTGGACTCTGTTGGATATAAAAACTAAACAACTTAATTTTTCTCTTATCACCAACCTCTTAAGCTCCCTTTGTTGAATTATTCTTCCACTTTTGACAGTGAAATGCTTTTCTGGTGACTTGCAGGGATTAATAAACCTCTTATTTTTAGGTAGGGGAAGTCCAGTCTAGTCTAGTCTCACAGCAAAGCTT